CTATCTAAATACGAGAAAAGTCCCCACGATTTACGGACACCCTGTATAATGAAATGCATCGGCGATGCTCAAACTTGCACCTTTTGGTGTAACTACGGTAAGTACATAAAGTAAGTATCGCGTCGACTTAATTCTATCGCGCGTACATGAAAATAATAATAATCAAACTTAAAATTGACAGGGAATATCGTATTAATAATTAAAACATGCAAATGAAGTTAATTTGGCTCTAAGCCTTATAAAAGTGTAGAGAGAACACTAAAGTGTAGAAAAGTGTAAACAAAATATATGAAATTAATATCAAATGTAAAATGTAATAAGTTTTAGCCTGGAATAGCTCCATATTGGCCGTTCTCTCTCTAGTTGTTTGTAATTAATGAGATAATAATAAAATATAACGGTTTTACCCTAAAGTGTATCAAAGTGTAGTAAAGTGTAACTGAAAAGTGTAGAGCTCGCGCTGGCTCGTTCCGCAGACCTATTCTAAGTCATTTGTACGGAAAGTGTAGAAAAGTGTAACGAAAGTGTAGAGTTCGCGCTCGTTCGTTCCGCAGACCTAAAACTAAGTCGTTTATACGGAAAGTGTAAAAAAGTGTAAAAGGTGTAACACCTTTTTTGTCCGTCTGTATCGTAAACGTGTTTGTCTTGTGTCTAAGTTCAAAAAGTGTAACAAAGTGTAACGTTTAAAGTGTAGGTACATCAATTCCTTTCGGGATCCTCCGGATTGTTCAAAATCACGATGTAAAGTGTAAAAATAATGAATAGCGTGCAAACTAAGTATGGATCAGGGAAATTGAGTATCATTGGTAAAAAGATAACTATTGAAACTATCGCGTACGTTGTAAACTGCATTATTGATATTTTATGTGCTCTATGGCGTGTAATACGGTTCTGAAATCGATCCTTGTGAATAAACTAATAATAATATGCAAATCAATGAAATGGCAAAAACAATGAATATAAAAGCTAATACGATTATGCGAAATTTATCTGAATCCATTATGAATCGGTTATTAAATGATTGAGTAAGTTTAAGGTAGGTTTTCAATGTTTTTTGTATAAATCGTCTTTATTAATCGGTGTTTTGTGTGTAACGAGTGTGTTCGCTATGTGTATGTTCAAAAGTGTACTAAGTGTAACTCGGTGGCACCTTGCCCCGTCGCAATCCACGTTTGGATATTTAAAACTAATAAAAGTGTAGCACTCGTGGTACTCTAAACTCTAGTGAATAAAATAATAATATCAAATAAATCAAATGACTCGATCAAACATTATGTGCGTTCTACGCTTGAATAAAATAAATCAAAATATTAAACTTTATAAATCACACAATATTAAAGTTATCGGAATATCAGTTTATCGACACGCATGCCTTTAGAGCTCGGTGTAGCTCTGCGAGGACTGCACCTCCTCCGCTTCCATCTGCTGGCTCTCGTCCCCTGGTCTGCTCCCCGACTGCTCCCTCTGCACCTCGGTGGAAAATATCTGAGACCCAGGAGATGCCGTTTCTCGTATGGGCGTTATGCCCCCTGCAAGCAGCCTCGCAACCTCCTCGTCAGCAATGCGTTCGTAATCGGGTGGCACCGATTGGTCCACCAATGGCTCGGTCAAACTCTGATGAGTCTGCTGCGTTTTTTGTCCGGTACTTTCGGGTTGCCCCTGCTGCACCTTTTGCTCGCTCTGGTCCCTCTCTGCTCGCTCGGGTTCCCGGGACATGATTAGCGTCTCGGCGGAAGAATCCCGACTCGCCTGGGAAACGGGCACTTTAGTGTACGATCCCAAGGTTAGGTTAGGTTATGACGGAGGAAGCCACCAAGGTGGCAGAGATGGAGGATGAAGATTACGACAAAGGCGTTGATCTTGCCAGACAGATCATCACGAATGCCATTACAACCGAGGATCCTCCGGCTTCGGACGACGCGGGAACTGATCCTAATTTCGTTCTTCCTGGTGTTTCTGATTCGGAGGGATCAGTGCATCGTGACCAACAGCTGGTGGGTGACGTTGTCATGATTGACGACGATGACGATGATGAGGATATCCCTCCACCTACTCCAAATAGGGATAAAAGGAAAGCGAGATTTCCCTCGGACTCGCCGGAAAATGCGGTTAAACCCTTTAAAAGGAGATATACAACTTCGGAAAACGAGACCTACACTCCGGTGCCAGCAACCAAACACAGGCTCTCCATTCAGCCTGTGGCTGCAAATAATTTACGTTCATATGACTCGGACAAATTGAACAAATGCGCCACCGAGTGTCTTCAGAAAATGGAGATTATCAGAAACAGCAGCAAGAATATTAAGGGAAATTTCTCTGGATACCTGAGAGATGGGATCTCAAATATAGGCGAAATTTTGGATATTTACCGTGAACGCTTGGGTGCTACCGGTGATGTGGCAGATCTCGAGTTGCAAAATAGAAACCTTACCACACAATTACGTAAAGTCACTCGCGAGCAGGAGCTCCAGAAGAAGGAGTACTCCATTCTCCGCAAAGAGAACGAGGACCTTCGCAAAGATATGGAAATGCTCCGTAAAGAGATTAATAATATGAGAGACACCGCAAATACGAGAGGATCTCCTTCAAAGGTGTCTGAAATAAAATCTGCTGATGCCCGCAAGTCAAGCAACGGAGAACCATTGACACACATCGAAGATTTTCCCCCTCTACCACGGAGAAAACCCAGAGTCATCTCCTCTGAGATTCTACGTGATAGAACAATCAAGTTGAGTAAATATCCTACTAGTGCGTCGAGATCGGAAACGGACGCAATTCCTAGCTCACATAAGAAGAGATCTCCTTCCGGCGGGAACAGGAGAACGGACCGGGAGGCTAACGTTGTCCATACGGAAGAGGATACCGATTCGTATCACATGCTGGAATTCATGAATCAGCAGATTCAACAATTGGTGGCCAACATGGAGGTACTTCGCGCCAGGTTTGATTCGAGATCGGAGGAACCTTCTAAGAAGAAGAGAGTAAAGAAGACGTCCTTCAGGAATGACACAGAGACTTCTGGTGTCTCGGATGGAGAGCTTATGGGTCCGCAGACCCCTGTACGGACTATGGAAGTGACGACTCGGAAAGAGGGGTCCCGACGGGGAGCTTCCGGAGACGCTCCTCCTCGTTCGACCACTCGCTCGCGGAGACCGCCCAAAACTGCCGCGGTGTCCATCACGAGTCTTAAGGACGACATTAGCTATGCGGACATCTTGAAGAAGGCCCGCGAAAATATAAATTTGGATACCCTCGGAATTGAGGCCTCCAAGATTAGACGCGGTATAAATGGAGGGATCATCATTGAGATCCCGGGCGCGGACGGCACTACTAAGGCTGACTCACTCGTGGGCAAACTTAGAGAAGTCCTTGATGTCAACAATATTCGTATAACCCGTCCGACCACTATGGGAGAACTGCGAATTTGGAGTTTTGACGACTCCATTTCGCCGACCGAAATATCGAACGAAGTTTCAGTTGTTGGCGACTGTGACGAACACCTCGTCAAGCTGGGTAATATTCGGAAAATGAATAATGGACTAAATTCTGTCTGGGTTAAATGTCCCCTTTCCGCAGCTATTAAGATCTCGGCTACAAACAAAATTAAAATTGGTTGGACCATTGCCCGAGTGGAGTTATTAGAAACGAGGCCTGTACAATGCTTTAAGTGTTGGCGTTACGGTCATGTACGCACTACATGCAACTTTCCGGAAGACCGTACGGGCGCTTGCTTCAGATGTGGCGAACGCGGTCACCAAATCGGTGATTGCAGAGAGGATCCCCGTTGTGTTATTTGTATGGAGGCCGGAAGACCCAGCGACCACCGGCTGGGCTCACTCAATATTTGTATGAGCGTCGAGCCAATCCGAGGAAGACGCAGGGAACCTGTGTCCGACGGTCGAACAACGGCACGGAGATGACCCTGTGTTTACAGCTGAACTTGAACGGTAACAAGGAGGCACAGGACCTTCTTGTTCACCATTCTAGAGAAATGGGGGCTGCTGTCTGCGCGATCTCGGAACCCGCCAGAACTCATAGCCCGTACCAGCTATGGTTCCACAGCCATGACGGACTTGCGGCTATTTATGTTAATAACAGGGCCACTACGCGCCCCGCCACGTTGGAGGCCCGCGGGAGACGCTGTGTCTTGATTAGACTGGGAGAGTTCTACTTCCTGTCTTGTTATATCTCTCCTAACATAGGTCTCATGGAATTTTCGGATTTCCTGGAGGAATTATCTACCATTTGTTCTGGTGTGGCTCATAACA